TTGCCTGAGTGCCCTTGTTTTCCATGATGTCCGTGATGAACGTGCTTTTCTGGATGGCCTACTTTTTCTGGTACTTCTAATTCTGTTTTTTCTGGTGTTTCCGCTGTTTCTATTATGACGGGTGATTCTGGATTTCCTGTAATGAGAATTATAAACTTATACATTATAATTGGCAGCTACCAATTTTATTATACATTTTCTTATCAGGGCCTGTTGGCCTCAAGCCTATTTGGATCCGGAAGAAAAGAAAGAGAAAATACATTTATTTCACTACCAGAAAAGAAAATGCAATTGTTAGAGACAAACTGAAGTGACTGTACATTGAGTGGAGACAATGCTTTCTTAGATTTCTCACAAATCGTGCTACAGCAAAAACTGAGGAAAAGCGGGTAAAACGATATCAAATGGTTTAGGTATTTACTATTAAATAACAGTCTTACAAAAGATATACGATACACCTAAGGATACCGTCTAAAGAATGTGCTAATTCGTTACAGAATTGGATGTGCTTTGTCCATTTCATTGAGTATACAACCAGAAATAGAGACGAAATGTCATTTTATTTGTTTGAAAAATATTCTGCAAAATAATTACTGTGACAACTGCGCTCCGATTGGCCAGCCCGAATTCGAAACAATTGACGAGTGTCGTCAATTGTTTCACGTCAATTCGACAATTTAACTTGAGCTTTCTGAGCTTTGCTATAATGGACGAAAATTAAAAAATTACATATGTAATATTTAATTACCGATGAAATGTCAGTCCGTTTATTGTTTTTGCTTTTTGCTGTTTTTCCCGCACCACCGAATGGAACAGCCCCCCAATTGTTAGAGATATTCTTTATATCTTTATTACAATAAATACAGAATATTTTTGGAATATACGGAGACGTACACACAAGTCAGTTCTAATTTGAGATTTCAGCGCAAACGAGAGTTGATATTTAAAAGTGATATAAGGCCCATTTTACCCAATGCGTTGCCAGGGATGGATTGCACTTATTTCGTCTCTATTTCTTGTTATATACTCAATGACTTTATTTAATCATATAAAACCTTGAAAACAAGCCAAAATAAAAGTATAAAACAATATATTTAAGAATAAAATATCTAACTTTGTACATAATTTTACATGGAGATATTTCTCTTTAAGTACTACAGAGAACTTAAGGTTTGAACAGTGGCGAATGACTTTGACGATTTGACCTCTAATCAGTTGTAACAATTTCATGCGCCATCTATCGACCACTCGCTTGTACTTACCCAAAGTCAAATAAAGATAAGTTATAAATTAGAATACAGAAGAGTCATAAGTGTTTTTTTTTTTTCATTAATTAAATTTTTATTGAATTGATATATAATTATTTTTTGTGAAATTACTCCACTAGTTTGTTATAATTATTAATGCAAAGATCGAACACTTAGAAAAAACACTCAGAAAAAATTCCTTTGATCCGGTCGGATTCGAACCGACGTCTTCTTGCATACCGTGCCAGACGTCATACCAACTAAGTCACGGAACGAACCAACGGACCTCACGAATTTCTCTATGTGCTCGCGTCGTGTCTTTGTACTTGGTCTTTCAACGACTTTTTAGTCGTAGCGCCATCTATGAGAAATCTATTACAGATTTGTCACCCAGTTAGTACCTTTACAGCTGCCAGTCCTGGCGAGAGATGTCGCTATTCACTGTATTAATTAAATTTTTATTGAATTGATATTCAATTATTTTTTGTGAAATTACTCCACTAGTTTGTTATAATTATTAATACAAAGATCGAACACTCAGAAAAAACACTCACCTACCTTTTTTTTTTTACCTACGTTGTCGTTCCCTCGCAGACATTCGTATTATATTTTAGGGTCCAAATCGTTATAGCATAAATAGTGAAATATTAAGTAAAATTTACTAATTAATTATGCGTCATTGAAAGTATCACTTTTATGTATTATTTATTCAATTTGTTTTATACAATACGTAAATAAACACTTAGATTAATAATAAAAGAAATAAATAAAAGTGATTAGAACCAATACGATTAATTTGTTTTTAACTGATGGAAATTCCAACAATAAGAAGCACACAGTACAGTACAACGATACGTACTTTGCGCGAGGTTAAATAAATATGGATTAAAATAGGTACTTTATTAACTAAATTGTTAACATTAAAAAGCGTCAAAATCTAAATAGCGAGAACAAGTAGTATAATTGAAGTTGGAGTACTGTTTTCTGGTTGAAGCATGGGTTCGTCGTCACGAGAGCAAATGTTTGCGATATTTTCTGGATCAATGGTGGTTTTATTTTCTTTGCTTTCTATTTTCTTTAAAACAAAACTGCTTTTTTTAAAACTGCGTCAGTGGCCGAACGGTTCTCATGCTGAACTGCCACGCAATAGCTCTCGGGCTTGATACGCGAGACAGGAGAAATATTTATATGACCTACATTTATTTCCCTCGCGAGTTTAGGTGTAATGTGCAGTTCTCTATAAGGTCTCCCTAGTGTGTGGCTATGTGTGTACACTATATTATTATTATTTACTTTATTTTTTGTCAGCTTGTTACCTGGTTTGAATCACACTTACGGACCGAAGGCAAGTAATTGCAGTATGGCGTGTATCTACGAATATGTGGTGGATGTGTAATGAGATCCTACTTCGTCCTCTTCCATCTGCATGAACTTTCTGATAGTGCAGCATGTATTTTAAATTACAGATTTTTGCAAGGTTATATTGAGGTTTTCTTTACACCCCAATAAGTTAAGGCTATGGAGAGGATGATTAGCAATACTGCTTGTTGCAGAAAGAACAATTGGGATAACATATACCTTTTCTTGCCGCCAAGTTCTAGACACTTCATCCTTTAGATCAACGTATTTACTTCCATTTATAGTCTTCTGTATGTTATGTGTGTTGGGAACTGCAATGTCTATTAGGTAAGTAATTTTATTTATTTTATCTTCTAGAGTTATGTCTGGTCTAATAAAATGAATTGTCCTGTCCGTGAGAGTGGCGTGGTCGTAGTAGAGTTTGTGTGTTGTGTTCTCTAGAATAGTTTGTGGTGCGTATTTGTAGTAAAGAGTGTTTGTGTCTTGTATGAGTGCGTATTTGAGTGCCAGTTTCTGGTGAGTGACGTTTGTCACTTGGTTGTGTCTATGAGTGTAGTCTGTTTGTGCAAGTGCTGTGCATGCTCCTGTAGTGTGCTGAATCGTTTCTGGTTGGATCTGACACTTGCTACATTTATCGTTTGTTGCTGATGGGTCTTATAATATATAATTTTGGTTTTCAAGTGAAGCCCTATTACTTGTTAAATCAATTTAACATTTATCCTAAAATTTGCAAATTGCCAAGCGGTTTCGGGTTTGTCGACGTCGAGTCTGTGACAAATTCATAGAGACAATGCACAGAGAAATTCGTGAGGACAAACAAGTGCTGCTTCGAATAAACCCAGATCGAAGGAATTTTTCGATTAGTTCCCAAATTCGTGTGATCAGTAAAGCCTTAATGAATGTTCTGGCATAATATTTTGAAGTATTATTTAATATTTCGCGATGATATAGTCAAAAAATAAAAATTGTCACCAAAATTTAAAACTAACCTAAAAATTACCCATTTACAATTCTAAAATTCACTCACCAAGATCCACTATTTCTGATTTTATTGTTTCCCTTCCACCCTTGGTGGATATATGCGTGATGATTTCATATTCTTCTTCGTCATCTTCATCGCCTAAACAAACAAACAATAACTTGATGATTATTAATAAAAAAGATAGAACACTCATAAAAAAATTCCTTCGATCCGACCGAATTCAAACCGACGTCTTCTAGCATACCGTGGCAGACGCTATACCAACTAAGCACGGAACGGACTAGCAGACCTCATGAATTTTTCTATGTGGTTGTAGTCGTGTCTTTGTATTTGGTTTTTCAACGACTTTTTAATCGTAGCGCCATCTATGAGAAATCTATGAAAGTTGTATCATTTATTTATTTATTTATTCAGAAATGTATAGCCAACACAATACATATAAAGAGTATAGCTAATAATTTACAATCAAAATATAAAATCATTATATATATCGCACTTACAGGCTACCACAGCATACTAGTAAAATACAAGCGGTTTATGTTATAGAGTAAGATTTACATTTTAAAGAGTTTATTACAGGATTACAAAGCAAATAGCAAGTTACAGATTAATAAAATTACTTATTTTAATTGAAATTTTCAATTTTAATCCCTTTAATATTTTATTTTAGTTTTAAGAAGACATGAATTTTTTAATTTTTTGTTTTGAAGCAGAGCAGTGAGTCTTTAAAAATATCCAAATCACACTGTCTATGAAATTGATTGTAAGTTTTAACCATTCTATTTATAGGACCAGATATACCAAGATTAGTCCTAGAAACACGAGATCTGAAAGGTATATAATTTCTTGTTCTTGCATTTGGTCTTGGGATTGTAAACCCAACCCTACTCAGAAGTTCTGGAGAGTCTATTGAATTATTCACAATTTTATGGAAAAAACAAAGATCAAGCATAGTTCTACGATTCGACAGAGACAGCGTCCTGTATCTATCACTCAGTTAGATACCTTTCCAGCTACCAGCTCTGGCGAGAGATGTCGTTATTAATTCTGTTTTAAATTTTTATTGAATTGATATTCAATTATTTTTGTGAAATTACTCCACTTGTATGTTGTATTTATTAATACAAATATCAAACACTCAGAAAAAAACACTAAGAAAAAATTCTGATTCTGAAAATTCTGAAATGCTTAGTTGTTATAGCGTCTGGCACAGTATGCTAGAAGACGTCGGTTCGAATCCGGCCGGATCGAAGGAATATTCTCTAAGTGTTTTTTTTCTGAGCGTTCGATCTTTGTATTAATTAACAATTATAACAAACTAGTGAAGTAATTTCACAAAAATAATTTAATATCAATTGAATAAAAATCTAAAATAAATTGATGAATTGTAAAAGACTGAAAGATCGTATTCGTACATCAATTATTATTTATAGTACGCAACTCTAATAAATTATCATATAGGGGAACGTGGGGTATTGGGAGCCCGCGGTTAATGAGAGCGGTGTTAAACTGGACTTTCCCAATGCTCGTAAGTGCAAACGGCACTCCTATGTCTTCGTTAACGTTCGACAAGGTTCGAGTCCTATTTCAATTCTAATAAATTATCATTTCCAGTGTGTAATAAAGGATGCTACTGTAACAATAATAACTTATTATTTGCAGCCATTTCTTACACACTGTATAATTGCTTGTAATAAATATCTGTGCTTGTTAAATTGGTTGATTACAGATCAGACCATCAAATGTTGGAATAACAATACTTATACAGGGTATAATAACATAATATAACTGGTGTACATGCTCGCGATAACAAGCATATGTAAAGCAAACGGAATTACTGGATTTACAAAACAATCTTTTACTCACTGGAGCTTTGTTGAATTTCACTCTGTTGACTCGCTTGAAATTTCAAGTACCACTTGACGAAATCTTCGTAGGTCTTCAAACCGTGATGCCATTGCAGTGAGCCATGTTTATGGAAATTCTGATAAATTTCTTCGCTAGAGCTCTGTTCACCGTACTGTTCAGAACTCTGTTGACTCTGTTGGCTGGAGCTTTCTTCACTGTACTGTTCAGAACTCTGTTCACTAGAGCTCTCTTCACTATACTGTTCAGAACTCTGTTGACTCTGTTCGCTGGAGCTCTGTTTACTCTGCTGTTCAGAACTCTGTTCACTAGAGCTCTCTTCACTATACTGTTCAGCACTCTGTTGACTCTGTTCGCTGGAGCTCTGTTTACTCTGCTGTTCAGAACCCTGTTTGCTAGAGCTCTCTTCACTATACTCTTCAGAGCTCTGTTGGCTGGAGTTCTCTTTACTGTGCTGTTCAGAACTCTGTTCGCTAGAGCTCTCTTCGCTATACTGTTCAGAACTCTGTTGACTCTGTTCGCTGGAGCTCTGTTCACTGTGCTGTTCAGAACTTGATTGACTTTCCTGATTTGATTTCGAATGCGAAGATTGAGTCACTGTAAAGATAAAATTTAAAAATTAGGAATTTGAAGTAACTTTAAGTCGTACCCGTGTATAATTCTAATAGTTATAGCTCGTGAAGTTTAAGAATAAGGAAATGAAAATTATTTATGATATATGGACACGTCCTCTCGTTTCAAGAATTTTGATAGAAGTGACTATGGATCGAAAAAACGCGAGAATAGTGAAGGACAAGGGAATTCGAGAACGATTCAAAATTTAAAAACAAGTGACCGGGAACCTGAAAGAGGGTGATAAAACAGTGGGTTGATGATGAGAGAGATCGGCATCGTGACACAACTATCGAGCAGCAGCAGTAGAGCTACTTGTGAAAGTGTTCGTCCAGGGTAGTACCAGTAGTGCCACCTTTACCTATTTCTGCCGCCAAGCAGTAATGTTAGCATTATTGCGTTCCGGTTTAGAAGGGTAAGGGTGCTGGTGAAATTACAGACACATGGGACTTATTTATTTATTTATTTATTTTATTTATTTATTTTAAACACTAAGAATATTACAAAAATATATATACATCACACCCTTAAACCTACCTACTTGACAACTTAAGTCTCAGGGTGACGGGCGCAGTGGCAGTACACCTCAGATCTTTGCGATTTAAGGCTCTGAGTGACACTGTAACTATTATGGCGTGTCGCTTACCAACAGGCGCACGACTTGTTCGTCCCCAAAAAGAACAGGTGCAACGTCGGATTTGTTCTGTTGTACACTCGATGATCTAACATAGCTGATTCTGAGCCCACTCAGGCATTCAATAGAAAAGTATAAAGGAATTCAAGCTTTTTCGTTGAAATTTGTATTTATGTAATTTAATTAAAGATCAAATGACTTTAAAAGTTTCTTAAAACGTCATTCACTTATGACGTAATGAGGAAGACATGTCTAAATGAATTTTACTGCTCAAAGAATGTTTGTTCAATTCAACTCAAATAATTTATTGTGTACGCACGTCTATATGGTCTTATTTAACACTGTTGTGTCAGTACGTATTGCCAATTTTACGGCACACAATTTACATAATTAAATTAATTTAACAGTAAATTACTAACTTTCAGTTACAAAATATCGAAATCTTAATTTTAATTCTTAATTATATTTATGTCATTATTTCGTGGTAGTTAACTGTTATTCTATGTTCATGTGAATAAACTAAATAATCGCTTTTTAAAATTGGTACTGTCGTTAGTCTCAAGTATATACAGCAGCTTACTGTATAGTTTTGGCACCATCGCACAAATCTTATCATGAAAGAGGGTAGTCTTACATTGAACCAGTTTCAATTTACTATCTTCGTGTACTTTCCACCTTGCTGAAGAGTGTGGGATTTCTCCGAACAAAAAGAAACGTTTGAAATATGTATATTGACGGAACTGTTAATAATATATACACAGCTATAATATACAGCTGTCCATACGGAACAATCCACAATTTTTTTTAACACCTTTCTTCTCTGATCTACTCAGAACCGATTAGATGGTTACTGGGTCAGCAATCACGGGCATCGTCTGCACCATAATTTGATTAAAAGTATGGTAAGTTTTTGGAATATCACATTATATCGCTGTATCAGAGTATGTTAAAATGTTCCAGAGCAGCTTAACTAAGCCCAGATTTTATTGATTAATAAAACTAATGCGTAATCCATTCAGACTTTTTTGAGCATAAAAACTTTGCTTAATCTTAACGTATAAGTACAGTGCAAATAAAATTAATACTCTATTACCGCCCTAGAGTGGTAATGTAATGGAAAAGCCCGAGGTCGTAATTTAGTACCTATGTTACGGTTGAATTTGCCTGCATATCATGACACTGTTTACGAGTAAGTGTAATGAAAAAGCACTATTGAGGTACGATCACATGCGGCTGTAATACACAGGGAGGGAAAGTATCTTAAATATCATAGATAAGAAATTATACTGAAAAAAGACTTCGTTTGTCTCTTGAGATGCAGGTTTCACCTAGTTCAAGAGTCAGTGTCGTCAATTGCCATTTTCTGTAAGTAATTCTTTAAATTCAGTTTTAAATATCTAAATCAAATATACAATATAAGTAATATGATAATAATATAATTTGAAATGTGAAATATGGATTGCAATTATCTGAAGCAAAATATTTTTATTTTTATTTATTGTATTTTTGTGATATCGCTGTATAACTTGTAATTGTAATTTTTGTAAACATTTTGTGGAAATACATAAATTTATTATTATTTTGATTTTAAAAACAATTCGAACTGCATTCAAAGATTTTTAAATAATCACCTGTATGACCAGGCATCGAACACGCTAGATGTGAAAAAACAATCACCTATAATTTTATTAAACTATTCGAAAGCCCCAATTATAAGGATTATTTTCTTCTAAATAACATAGCGTCTTAAATAAAAGGAAGACCATGAAATTTAACATTTAATTTGAAATTTTGTTCAGACAATTTTTTTTAACGCACACACTCAACGTGGTCCCGTACTAGGGAATCCCTGGGTCGCGGGTGCCATGGACACACACATAGACAACCACAAATTACACCCAAATTCACGAGAGAAATAAATGTAGTCCATACAAATATTTCTCCCGGCCCGAGAATCGAACCTGGAACCTCTGCGTGGTAGTTAAAATGAACCCGTGAAAGGTTTAGTTTATAGGAACCGGTATGAGAATTTTGAACTTACACGTGTTATTTTAAACATTCACCCATAGAATAATAACGCATAGAATGATAGTTTCATATCAAGCGAACTGTCACAAGTGAGGCAACAATCAAATTCATGTAGGCTAGTTTTAGCAGTAGGTTAATTTTCGGTTTTAGTGAATATTTATATAAAAATACAAGTTGAAACGCGTTACTTCCTTGTGGAATGTGATGTTAGTATCTATTTTATGTTTGTCTGACGTATTTTTACACTCATTTCGTCATTTTTAGCTAATTTTTGAGCTGTTCGCGGTGCATGTTGGCCTTGAGCGCTGAAGGCCCGCCCAGATCGTGTAGGCCCTTTTGGCGCGCTTCAATTTGCCTCACTTAGCGTGTGCGGACTAGGTTTCTATGCGTTATTATTCTAAGCATTCACCATGAAAAGATAAATAAATCAATAGGAAGCGAGATAACAAAAAAGTGAAAATTTGTATACTACAAGAATGGGACACATGATAAATTAAATTGATTGTAAATTGCCTTCGAGTATATAACCAGAAATAGAGACGAAATGGCATTTAATTTGTTTGAAAACTGTTATGCCAAGTCATTACTGTGACAACTGCGCTCCAATTGGCCGGCCCGAATTCGAAACAACTGACGGGTGTCGTCAATTGTTTCACTTCAACTTGACCTTCGCTATAATGGACGAAAATTTAAAAATTACATATTTAATATTTAATTACTTTTTCCCACAGCCTCCATTGTTAGAGATATTATCTTTATTACAATAAATACCGAATATTTTTGGCATATACGGAGACGTACACGCAGGTCAGTTGTTGGCGCTTTACTATTTCAACTTTCTAATTCGTGATTTCAGTGCAAACGAGAGTTGACATTTAAAAGTGTTATTTGCCTGGTGAGTTGTAAAAGGGATGGATGGCACTTTACTTAGTCTCTATGTCTGGTTAATTACTCGACGTAAGTTGCAGTCAAATGTGCCTAATTATTTTGATTAAGTTTTAAATTTCATGGTCTCATTTATCTTTAAGATGCTATAGGTGCTTTTTTTCACATTTGAAGCGTTCAATCGGTTCAAACAGATAATTATTTAGAAATCTTTGAATGCAGTTCGAATTATTTTTAAAATCAAAATTTATCATCTTTTAGTAAAATGTTCTATCTACGATATTTAAAGTACTTTTCACCGGACTGTCTCGGAAAGGCTTTCTTTCTCATTAGAATTTTTCATATGCGTGCAAAAGCGTTTTTTGCACGCTAGCCTTAGAATAATAACGCATAGAAACCTAGCCCGCACACGCTAAGTGAGGCAAATTGAAGCGCTCCCAAAGGGCCTACACGAGCGGGCGGGCCTTCAGTGCTCAAGGTCAACTTGCACCGCGAACAGCTCCAGAATTTTAGCTAAAAATGACGAAATGTGCGGTAAATAACTGTAAAAATACGTCAGACCAACATAAAATGGATACTAACATCACATTCCACAAGGAAGTAACGCGTTTCAACTTGTATTTTTATATAAATATTCACTAAAACCGAAAATTAACCTACTACTAAAACTAGCCAACATGAATTTGATTTTTGCCTCACTTGTGGACAGTTCGTTTGATATGAAACTATCATTCTATGCGTTATTATTCTAAGACGCTAGCATGGAATAGGTTTTTGAAATTCGATCTTGACGATGGACTGTGTGCCAGGTGCACTTTTGATTAAAACAAAAAGGTAATGACACGTTCAACTACACGATTTGTCGTACATTACTTATTTAGGTAATAGAAATCTTCATCAAAAAAAATTATTTTGTTGATATTAAATTGACAATGACAACTAGTTGTGTTTATTAAATTATTTTAATTCGTCGAAGAACTAAAATAATTTCAATATTCACTTAGTCACACAATATAAAAGTATAGGCAAGAATAAAAATGTATTAGGTGTAAATTCAGAACGCATCCAGAGAGAAACTTTATCTTTTAATTTCAAAAAATTCAACTGTTTTTCTTTCATCTACCATTTTTAGGTGAAAAGTTGTGTGTTTAACTCGGCAGCAAAGTTGTTTTGCGTCTCGTGTCTTGGAACCCTCGCTACGCTCAAAAATCTATTTTTGAACCTCTGGCTTTGCTCGTGCTTCCTTCGCTTGCTCATTTCAATACAAGCACTGGCGTCAAACAACAACTTTGCAGCTTTGCATAACAAATAACTATTATTACCCTTTGTGTGGCATAGCCCTGACGCCCTGTATATACTAAAGGTATTTGTTTTTTATTAAGGCTTTGGCAAAGCCATCAGCCTAAACATGAAGTTTAATTATGTTTCTGTAAACATGGCCGCCACAAAGAGGATAGGCAATTTGAGTCGGCGTGCTTGGATTGACTCGGGATTACTTAAAACTGGCCGATACGGGTATTTTAGTTCGAGATTCGTATAATTTCGCGTTTTAATCTTCGATTAAGGCGCAATAGCACTATCCTATTCCACTTTAAACTAGAATTCACAAAATAATTGAAAGTCAAAATGAAAACGACACTTCCCTCCAAAAGGTCCAGAGCGAATTCTACTAAAGGTATTAATTATTCAAACAACAAAAATAGAGTTACTTACATTCAGTGAAGTCAGACTTTAATACAGGAGCTGTAATAAAAAAAAGAAAACATAAACATATGCCACGGTGTGGAATTCCCTGCCTGCAGCTTATTCCCTGATGGTTATAACTTGGCCTTTTCAAGGCGAGAGTGAATAGGCATTATTTAAGTATGCATGCACTTGTTCTTGCTTTGAACTTATTACCAAATACCACGGATTTATATACTTCATAAACTGGATCGCTCACTCGGTATATCAATATTACAAATTTACACCTTATCTGGTTATGTTCAGGTTTATTTTAGTTCAGGTCTGTCCTTGTCTAACAAGTTGCCATCGCAAAATAAAATATTCTTGCCTAGTTCTAGTCTATTAAGTTTTTTAAATTTTGGATACATATATTTGCTTGAAAGTAATATGGTTTTATTGTAATAATACAAAAAAAAAATTATGTCAACAATGAAACCTTCTATTATGAAGTAGCAAATCAAGTAAGTATACTAATTTGTGTTATGAAATAATATTAGAAATTTTCCTTAAAAATGACAAAGTTGAAAACAATACGACTGGCTGAAAAATGAATGAACACCTTATTAGAAAGAGACGCATTACTACTTTGAAACCTCTCACTCGGCTCGTTTTATTGACTCGGTCCAGTTTAATATACAAGTCCGTGCCAAATACTGATCTAAGGGTCTTATTCCAGAACTCTATTCAATGCTCAAGTCAGGACTTGAGTATGATTTCAATACGACCCTAATGGCAAGAACTTGAGTATGATTGATTTCTAGTGCTTTAAATCATACTCAAGTCCTGACTTGAGCATTGAGTAGAGTTCTGGAATACGACCCTAAGAACCAAATACTGTACAGGGACTCTTAAAGAATTTCGTTTGTATAAAATTATTTTTAATTTTGTAGCCCTTTGGCCAAAAGTGTTGATGAAAAAATTATTTTACAGCGGTAAATACTTTCTATTTTTTATTACTAATTATTACGTTGTAGTGTTTAAGTCAGTTACGTAGTTTATACATTTATTTGTTTTGTTGTAGTTTTAAGCTGATCGCCTCGTAGCCAATGCTCAATAAATTAAAAAAAAAACTGATCTAAGTGACAGACATTAATTTTTTTTTTTAAATGTAGAATTACATATATTTGCCAAGTTTTATTGTAATCTGCTAACGGAAAATGGCTGAAATCCAATAAACCAGATTCCTACCCTAATTTGACACTGTTGGAAGTGGAATATTTTCTTTTAATTTGAATGAAACCACTACTGAAGTAACCCTTTTCGAACAAACGACCAATCGAAATCGGTTCACAAATATCGAAGTCGGAGTAAACCCGTAACATTTATAAACACATGTAACATACTTATGCCTACAGTCGAATTGAGTACCTCCTCCTTTTTAACCGACTTCAAAAATTACTCTATTTGTGAACCGATTTTAATGAATCTTTCTTTTGTTGCAAAATAGAGTACCTCAGTATCCCATTTAAACCCCATTATTTGATGAAAATATTCCACCTATAAGGGCGGCAAGGGGATTGATTGAAACCGAGTAACCGATATCACGATTCAATAAAACATGGCAAATTGATGTAATACCACGAACTTTTTTTTACATAAAATAGTTATATTTATTTCATAATAAATGAAAATAATTACCATTCTTTATTTCTTTTGCACTCAGTACCTGTAAAAAGGGAAACAATAAAATCAACAATAGTTAAATATAGGTACAATTTCACTGAATCTATTTTTTCATGTCTAAGTCGTGTATATTTGTTTATCCGCATGTCCCATGGTCACGGCTACCACGGTTAGTTTTATATTAGTCTTATAGATATAGTCCCACTGCTGTGCACAAACCAATGTGAATTAGGAACTACACACACATTTACTGCCTAAACTTGCCTATTTCTACCGCCAAGCAGTTGTCAGAATTACTGTGTTCCGGTTTTGAAGGGTGCTGGTGAAATTACAGGCACATAGGACTTGTCAACTTATGTATCAGAGTGACAGGCGCAGTGGCAGTGCCCCTTTTGCGATTTAAAGCTCTGAGTGGCAATGCACCTGTTATGGATAGGCGTGTAGCTTACCATCAGGTGCACGACTTGATCGTCCTGTCACTTGATATAAAAAAATCATCATTAAACTGCCTTGTTGTTTTCACCGAAAAGCTCATGATAAATTTCAAATGATGTGAGACCCGGGGGTAGATTCAGAACCTTACGATAACTCAGTTGTCGACCGATTTCTTTTCATTTTTATTCACAACACCCGAATCGAACGTCAAACTGTCGTATTCGAAACCGAACCGAAATGACGTCACACCCGTATGATTACTCGAACTTCTCGACCGTCAAAGGCTACAAACGTTATTCAGAACCAGTTATCGAATGAAAGTTACCGAACGTCCTACTGTTTACAAAGCAAGAATGTAATATAGAAATCTCCTATTATTTTAAGTAAAATCTGGATTTTGTTCAATTTTATTAATTTATTTTAAGACTAAAGCATTCATATATTTCAGGCCTTCGAATGTTCTGAATAGCTCTGAAAGCGCCCTTCGATTCGAGAACGATATCCGGATTCAAACCCACGGAGTCTACTTGAGAGCCAATTGGTCAAATCATTGAGTTAACACGGCATTTTTTAAATCAAAGTTAATTAGTCAGCATTACTGTGTTCCGGTTTTGAAGGGTGCTGGTGAAATTACAGGCACATGGGACTTGCCAACTTTTGTCTCAGGGTGACGTAGTAGCTCTGAGTGGCACTGAAACTGTTATCGATAGGCGTGTCGCTTACCACCAGGCGCGCGACTTCTTCGTCCCCTATACTTAGTATTATAAAAAAAAATAAAAATATAAAATTACTTACGCTGAGTGCGCAGACCAGCACCGAAGCGATGATCAAGCGCATCTTCAGGCGTTCAAGGATCTCTCGATCCCGACCAACGCGATGTCGAAATGACTATAGATCACCTTCCTAATTTCCTTTCTTTATATACCCTAGTTTCTGCACTATATACTCATAAATCTTTAATACTTAAAACATAATAAATCACCAATTTTCAGTTGAACAAATTTTGTATTATTCTTGCTAAAGTAAATATAATGAATAAATATCATGTGACAATTTGTATGTTTATTGGATGAAATATCACTTTCGGCTGTTTTGAATTTGTTTTCGTGCGTTTGTATGACAAAGTTATATTTTTTGGCATCAAAATCGCGTATATTTGTTTTTTTCAAACAAACCAACGTTTCGGGCCACGGGTGACTGAGATGATAAAGTCAGCAACCAGTTATGTCTAATATTAATACAAACAACCCTATTTTGCAATATAGTTAGAAAAGTTATTGGGGTTGTCACATTTCTGCAATGCCTCAGCCATGTTTGCTGATGAAAATGTCGGTATTGTATTTATTTATATATACCTATATATATAATAAGTATATAATATATATATAAAATAAGTGTGCACTTGTTCTCCATCTTACCTGTTGAAAAGTGACGATGTAGCATGCGCACCTAAATAATGCCTATTCACTCTCGCCTTGAAAAGGTCCAAGTTATATCCTTCAGGGAACAAGTCCGCAGGCAGGGAATTCCACTCGCCATCCAAACGCTACGTGTGAACGTCGCAGCCCAAATCTAGTCCCCCCATAATGGAAAGGGGAAGGCGGAATCAAATTATGCAATTCCCTCACACTCTCTACTTGATATATCTTTTAGAATACCGATAAACAGGCAACTTTACGGCGGTGTTCAAGACACCGTAGCTTCGCCTCTACTACTTCCGAATCTCCTAAAGCCTCTTGGCACGCTTGTCGATTGAATCCAAGGTGGTCAGTTGATCTTTAGCAGAGCCATCCCATAAGTGGCAGCAGTACTCCATACACGTCCGGACTTGTGCTTGGTACAGCAGAAGCAACTGTTCCGGTGTGAAGTAATACCTCACCTTGTAAAGGTTGCCAAGCTGCATTTTGAGTTATGGTTTCAATGTATCTACCGAAGTTCAGATTGGACGACTGGTCCCTTCCAAGTAGCTGAAGTCGTTACCGAACAAAACCATTTCAAAGAAATTAGTGCTTAATAACAAATGTTACAAAGTCCTTGCGAGAATATATGTACTAACATAGTATTAAATCTGTACTAACATTTTTATACCAATATGCCAAATGTTCTTTGGCAACATGGCTTTTAACTGAGCAAAGCTTAGAACGAGTAAAAATATGTCAAAGAGGCTTAGAAAAAAGCTATTGTGGCCATAAATTAAAAGATATAATAAAAAACAATGTAATAAGGGAGAAGACCAACGCTTAAGATGCTGCAAAAAGAATTCTTCAGTTAAAGTGGAAATGGGCCGGACACATTCAGAGAGCTTACGTACGAGTGATGGTCGAAAACCGTTACGAATTAGTACCCAATAAATGGAAAGCGTAAGCCTGGAAGACCACACAAAAGATGGTGATGTCATAGTAAGAGTAGCAGACAAAACATGGAGTAAAAAAAAGAGAAAAGTGGAAGAAACTGGAGAAGGCTTTAACCGGTGAAAGCGGTCCTTGTATAGAACATTGAAAAAATAAAACAAATAATATTTTAGTTATTCTACATACTTATAAGAAGAAAATACTAATACATAGTTAAAATAAAAATAAATCGAAATTGTACTTTATAATAAGGCTAACATTTAAGTTTTTACTGTAATTTAAGGTCAGATATAAAGCTTTTATAATTATTATTATTATTATGCCAAATGTTCCTCCATCAGCAATTCGATGTCTGGTTTCAAGAGAACAAACACATTCTGAAATATTTTAGCCGAGTATTATATTCAGCATGGTAGGGACTATTGGAGTCTTCATATGCAAGAAAACGAGTAAAGTTACGTTGCAACCGTTTGATTCTTTCAGAATGAATTCTATAATGTGGATTCCAGACCGACGATGCATACTCCAAGGTACTACGTATCAAAGAGTTGTATAAGACGAGTATTCCTGAAGTCCTTGCAAGAGCGTTCGATAAAACCTACCATCTTCCATGCCTTCAATATAATATTATTAATATGGTCTGTGAAATTTAACTTGCTATCAAACATAACACGGTCACGGTCAAGTATGTAGGCAATAATACGGTTAACAATTACGTCAACAAATACGAGTATTTCAATTCCTGCCTTGTCCATCCTCGTGAAATCAATGCAGACCATTTACGGAAACACGCTAGGAGAGAATTTTAATTATGCCATACAAATTTCAATCTTCGTCTCGCCGTTGTATCGTCACTTGTTGGCGCAGAATTGCATTAAGCCGGTCAGAGAAATCTTTAAGTCCAAGAACGTAAGAGGGAAAAAGACGTTCTTCGAATCGAATTCGAATCTACACAAGTTGGCAACGAATATGCTTACTGCGAACTTCCGATCGCGTCAGACGAGGTTTCATCCTAGTTTAGAAACAATTGGCGCGTCGGCGCCCGTTCTACTGCGTTGATGGCGAATCGGCTTAATGCGACAAGTGTGTCTCAAGCCGATTCCGTGTCGATAAGCTAAGTCTAGTAGCAGTAGAGCTCCTTGTAAAAGAGTCCAGGTTAGTACTGCCATTTTACCTACTTCTCCGGTTTTTAAGGGTAAGGGTGCTGGTGAAATTACAGGCACTTGGGACTGTCTCAGGGTGACGGGCTCAGTGGAAGTGCCCCTCAGATCTTTGTAATCTAAAGCTCTGAGTGGCACTGCAACTGTTATGTATAGGCGTGTAGCCTCCAGGTGCACGGACTTGCTCGTGTGGTGTTTTTTTTTTAAAAAAAAGGGCGTCATGGGATGATGGGGCCTGTAAAGTGATTGAAACATGGGTTTGTTTGAAAAAACAAATACGGTTACATTTCCTATGTGTAAAAATCGCCAAAAGAAAAGAAACTTTTGAAGTATTTATAAAAAGCATTGAAACAAATTTGAATTGACTGTCTGGGAAACCCAAGGGCCGGCAGTTACCTTGCCCAACGCATTAGCACAGAAATACAAAGGAGGAACGCTGTCAGCATCTTGGGCACCTTGCCGCGGGGACCCAATTTTACTAATGTAATTTAATAATCCTAGCTTTACTTTCTAGTATTTAAGCTTTTATTGTACCTTAACTGAATATTATCAAAATAAAAATATAATAATTTCTCTCCTAAAATTTGTTTTTATATTTTATTCGTATCTATTTCTTGAAGTTCAAATCGCACTCTAAGAATTCGTTACTACATTATGTAGCATTCGTTACGTCATTCAAAAGTAAAACAAGATTTTAAATAAACAAATTATTCAATTCTCCTTTGTTCTTGTTCAAATAATTTGTTCAAATTTTACGTGTATGTAACCTCGAACAATAACGGCGTTGAATATTTGTTTTGAAGTTGAACGTAATCGAATTAATCATTTTTTTAACGTAAGTTAGTGTTAAATGCACTCAAGGGCTCATCTATTTTACAATATACAACATTTTTTCAATAGACATGGTTCTGAATGTACTAATATATGTTATCGGCAATATATGTACTCCAGTATTCTATACAATACCTAGGTATTCTGTACAATGCCTAAAACAGTCAACATCGAGTATATAACCAGAAATAGAGATAAACAAGAGCCATCCATCCCTGGCAACCCATCAGGCAAATGGGCCTTATATCGCTTTTAAATACCTACTCTCAAAAATGAGAAAGTTAAAATAGTACAGCGCCAACAACTGACCCTGTGTACGTCTCCGTATATTCCAAAAATATTATGTATTTATTAGTAATAAAGATAATATCTCCAGCAATGGCGTGCTGTTTCAGTCGGTTGTGTGGGAAAAACATCAAAACATCTAATTACAAAACAAACGAAATCACATTTCAACGGTAATTAAATAAGTTTTCAATTTTCGTCCATTATAGCTCAAGTTAAATTAGTCGGTTTGAAGTGAAACAATTGACAGAGGTCGCATCGTCACACCCTTAGCGTAAAGAGAGACGTTGGCTCTCTGTGTGTGTTCTACCGTCTTTATTATGCGTAATGCTCTGAAGAACTTTTCGAACTGGTGCCACCTTCTTGTTTGAACCGTCACACCTCCCGCCAAAGGAGTAGAGTCCATCCCCACAACTTAGATGTCTAGCATTTTTTTTATATTATAAGGGAGGTGAGCCGAACATTCGCTGCGCAACACTTGTAACATTCGGTAGCCTCATTCACCGGGAGTATTCGCCTGTAATGTAACAATCTGTTCAGATTGTGGCTACGACTCCACCAGATATAGTGGAAATGTCTTTTTTTAAGTTAGGTGCCTGCGAGTGCCTTAGAGTGCAAACGAGTGCCTTTGAGTGCCCGCGAGTGTTTTTAAGTGCCCGCGAGTGCCTTTGAGTGCGTGTGATTTCATTTTAGTACATTTGAGTCTCTTGAGGGCCTTTTAGTGGCCGCGAGTGCCTTTGAGTGCCTTTTAGTGTCTTGAGAGTTTGTGAGTGTCTTTGAGTCAACTGCACTCAAAGGCACTCAAACGTACTCAAAGGCACTCGTGGGCACTAAAAGGCACTCAAGACACTCAAAACACTCAAAGGCACTCAAAAACACTCAAAGGCACTCAAGATACCCAAAGGCACTCAAAGTCAACTAACAAGCATCCGGCCCGTCTAATGGAAAGTGGTCACCTTCGCCTATGAACGCCTGGAACGCCAAGGTTACGAGATCGACTCGGATCCAGAGTGTGAGGATGGACTCCCTGCCAGTGGCGAGCGGTGCGATAATAAAATGATGCCGTTGGCATCATATCAAACAGTTCTTCTTCAGAACATTGGCGTCTCGTTCGTTTCTTCCTCGAACCTGCAAGATGTGGAATGACTTCCTCCTGAAATATTTCCTTTGCACTATGACATGGGGTTCTTCAAAAAGCGTTTTACAGGACTCCCAAAGGCTGGCAACGCATAGGCAGCTCATC